CAATCGATATTATAAGGCATGATTTTCCAAACAGAAATTACTTTTTCTTATTGATGTTCTCCATATTGAACGTTACATCAAACAGTGATTTTAAAGAAAATAGGTATGAACAAATATTTTTCAATTGTTTTGAGGTGATGTATGTTTTTGATTCTAAACGAGAATAACTTAATTTTCCAGTTCGTTTAATTTCTAATTGATTATTTAAAATATCGATGAATTTTATCATTTGTTATCATTCTGATCACATTACAAAGACTAGACGATTCTCAAAAGTAACTTGTGTTTTATAACAACATAATGCTTTTTTGATTCTATCTCACAAATATTACTGGAATTAGTTTTTTATACAAATCATAGAAATCGCGTCTTTTGATAAAACTGTATTAGAATTGTAGAATTTTCCAATACATTTCTCGATTAAAAATCTATCCTATGAAGTGTGAATTGAGACAATATCTCTTCACACTTATATGTTGACCGCTATTCTAGTCGTGTAGAGCTTGAATTTTGTATCTTTCAACAGATTATTCGTCATTTTTGTTCAGTTGCAGGTCAGAGGTCACAATATAGACATGTATATCTCTTCTACTGCACGTCAGTGAACAAATTTAGACTATCTTCTATATTGACACATTATACAAATTCTTTGACAAGAAGAAACGATGACCACTAGACCGTATTACAGTTGGAGCGAAATTACAAATAATTGGTATTTTCAAAACAAAGTGGTAACATCGACAAACCAGGTTAGTCAACATTTCGGATAACTTCATTTATTCTGATTGAAAGTTTTTTCGACTTACATCAATCTTCTTATTAGATATCTTTAAAAATGCTATTTAAGGATTGGCCATCATGGACGAATGCGATGAAATGGATTTATATATATGTCACTAGCTACATTGCTGCTTGTGAAATTTTCCTATTCGGCTATGAAAGTTTTCGTACAATTCCTGATGATGTAAGTGCATTTGAAGAAATCTTTTAAAGTAATAAAGCATCATTGTATATTCGATTTCAGGCTATTCTTTATCGATATCGAGGTCTTTTCTGGTGTTTCATGATGGGCATCGCTTGTTTGGTTTTCCTCATCATTCTCATGACGCCACTAGCATCTTTCCTAGATAGACCACCATCATTTCTTGTTATTCTTCTTTGTCACTGCCGCCGCATAAATAGTTTGTATTTTTATTAATATTTAATACTGTTACGAAGACTTTTTTTTCTTGTAGACGAGCAATCGTCTTCGAATCCATGGTGGAAACAAAAATGGTTTACTCAACTGATTATTGTCATGACTAATCTCCTTTGTTGGATAATTGTCTTTGAGATCAGTCATTGGTTCTACGCTAATTACGATCCTGCATATGATAAAGATAAAAAATTGGTAATTTCGAATTCACTTCTTGCTTACGAGTACAATCCGACGAGCTACTTAATTCTGAGATATATAGCAAATACCGATGAATTTCACAATAGAAAGAAGTCTCAATCATTAGCTGAGAATTCATTCATGGAGTAAATTTTTTTCTTTTGAAAGCAGGATTTTTTTGATAAAGTGGAATATTTAATTACATGATCATAAGTTTTTCTATTTTCTAGGATCGTTTTCTTGTGTACTATGTGAGCAGTTTAATGACATGGATATTTTGGATAATAATCCTTGCGATGATATCTTTCGTCATTATTGAAGCCAGTTTTTTCAAATAATCAATCAATATCGATACTATCCTACATATACTCACCATTTTCAAACATTTGTGTTCTTCGTTGTTTATAATAAATCGAAATCACATTTTCTATTCGCAAACTCTTCTTTGAATCCAAATTTATCAAATGTTTTTTTATCGATTCGAAATCCTGATTTGCTGAATTTTAACATTTGAAAATAAGGTTTTTGTCAAAATTCGAAAATTGTCTATTGTCACAGTTAGTTTCATTTGTAATTGTTACACCTGAATATTTCTCATGTGACTCATATCTGATGAAGACTAATAGTGTCAGAAAAGTAGGTTATTGATAATAGAAGCATTGACGACATTTACATCCACAGCATTTGTTTATTTCAAAACCTGATTTAATCACATTGAATGCAAAATTTCTATTAAAACTTATTAACCAGTGATTGACATGAGTATGAAAATATTGATCCAGAGACAGATGGTATAATTTTAGAAGAAGAAAGTTGACGGAAATTTCAGACTATCAAGAAGTTATCTGTTTCATTCACACCTAGGAGTCTTACTTTGTATTCTATTCCTCGGAACAAGAACAAGGAACGCGAAGTGTGGATGTAGATATCAATATTCGGATTTTCTTTACACCAACTCACACCCCACCCTATACGTAAGAAACTTGTTATCAACAAGCATTATGCCATAGTTCCCTTATTAGTTTTTTCGGGCAACTACCACAAAGAAGAATAAAGGCGATGAGGTAGAATAGTGTTTCTAGAGTAAGTAATTTCAAATATTCTATCAAATAACGAAAACCTCGTTCGAAATGTGTGCATGAGTGCCGAGGTAGTATTAATATATTAGAAAACGTCACGCTTAAAACTGGCTGGAAACAACCTTGAGTAGAATAACTTGTTATAAATTGTTTAGAATTTTTTCGAGTACTTCAATTCAAACATATTTTACAAGAAAACATGTGCCTTTTGATACTCAATAATTTATCCAACGTTCTTTGTATTTTTTTATAGAAGCTTCTTAGCACAGCCCATGATAGGGCTAAAATGTAGTTACATCTCAAACCCAATCATCCTTAGAAGTACGGCGCTGGTTGTTAAAGGAATAGATACTTATTTCGATAATGAGAATTGGTCGAGTCAAATGTGTTCTGGTCTCTTCATTCTTTTTTTATTGCTTTCATTTGCGTGAACAACATAACATTGAATTATGCCTATGGCCAGGCTATAGTCCGAAGTTTGTAGTAACTTGTTATTAAATGTTGTTCAATCACGTATCAAAGAGACTCAAACAGTAGACTCACATATTGTATCGTCATATTAACTTTTTCTTACCATTTTGTACAGCTAAACCTGCACTATCCGAATATATCCAAGAAAATTTTTTTTGATTGTAACCTCGATGTTTTAGATCAAAAATACGATTCTCAAGAATAGATCAACCACAGTATGTTCCTATCTTTTACAATGATTTGACAATAAACAAACATATTGAGTAATCATAAAAGAGACAAACTGAATTCTAATTTCTATGTAGAAGAGAAGAGAGAAAGAAGAGAAGATGCTACAAATAGAAAGACCTGAAAGTTTTATCCCGAGGCCATTTGATAGTACTAGTTGATTTTTTTTGTTGAATAGAAGCTACACATATATGTATACATACTAATCGATTAGGAAAAGAACAGACAAAAAAAAAAAAAGAAATCTGTTTTCAAGGTAAGAAAGTTTCTTCATCTGTGACAAATTATATTAACATCTGTTTCTTAATAATCATTGAATATCTTAAGAGAGGCTAAATAGAAAAAGAAACGATTTAATTCAAACTATTAAGAATCTAAAGATAGACAACAGGTTATATTCTATGACTGCATCAAATAAAAATAAGAATGAGATCGATTTATTCGATCGATTCCGATCATCTACGCATCTATTCTTCTGTTTAACAATAAGTGAAATTCATTCGTCTCTCTTCTAATATCGTTATAGGATAAGTGTGTATGAATAGCTAACGGATATATTTTATTCATTTCAATAGTTCACATACAAACGATTATGGATCAGTATGAAAATTAGTAAGAGAGAATAGAAGAAAAAAAAAGAATTCTATTATATTTTATTTCACACAGTTAGAATCTAATTGGTTGCAATATATATTTCAATATATATCGAACAATATCTCACGCATCCTTTTCTCATTAGATCTCTAGCAAGCAAAAAGGGTAAGTGAGTGGAAAAAACTTGTGCACATACGCAAATGATCCTAATGGGCAAAGATAAACATTAGTCGTAACAGTAAGAATCTAATTGATTTTGATAATAGCAACAATCAGCATCCGCAGCTTCTTTGAATAAAATATAATTATCTTTGTATCTCTAGTGAGATTGTTCATATTTCCTTGTATATATCAACGGGTAGTCCAATTTGTATATCGTACATATAAATATATATATATATACTGTAACATACAACAAGATTATTTCATACAATTGTCCAATTTGCACGCGTCATCTCTTTTGTCTTGTCTTGCTTGTTTTTTCTTTTTCTCAATCAAGTACAGAATGATGAGGAAAAAACATATTTTTTCTTTGTTCGTTTTTTTTTTGTTTCTTGCACTAAGTGTTCTTTATCTATATTGACTATTCCATTAGTAGAGACATGCACATACGCGTGCTCTACTTATATATGTATACATAGGATTTTGTTTGAAGTTAACTAGTGCAATATTAAAAATATCTTTTCTGATATAGTCATATATATATTCTGCTATGGAAGAATCTTTTCTTCTGTACAGATAAACGTATTTCTTTTTTGTAAAAACACAGATGCAATATATTTGTTATTCTTTGCGTATGTTTCTGGCATTGAGACAATAATGACGAAAGATTTTTCTTATCATTCCTTAGAATGATAAGAGAGAGAGAGAGAGAATAAGTAACTGAAACAACGATAGAAAAAAAATCTGATCTAAGTCAAAGCATATGTTATCTTAAACACACACAATATAGCCAAAAAAAAAGAGAATAAAGAAGAAAAGCATAAATTAACAAAGTGATGCGTTTATTCACTCATATAATATACGCGCGTCGGCAATGGTACTCAATTATCATCACTACCGCATTATCAGAAGACATAGAAATGAGAGTAATATAAGATAGAATATAGTAATTATTCATCATCAATAGTAACAAAACAAAACAAAGAAAGAAAAAGGAATAATCAATACCTTCGATTTTGTTATTTTTACCATAAATGAATAGATCCTATTAGTAAAACAAAACAAAAAAAAAAACAAATTCGGCTCGATGCATGGAGACAAGTATTATCATATCATTAATATTCCATATTTATTGGTGCTTGATTGGTGGTAAGTTTTAAAATATATATTAATTGTGTTTCTTATTAATATAAAATAGTTACTATTGCTAATCCCGATTCAAAACGTTTATATGAAGAATTAATTCAAGTACGTGCCTATAATAAACTAATTCGTCCCGTCAAACATAATAGTGAAAAATTAACTGTTTATTTGGGTCTTCGATTAACACAATTACTTGATGTGGTATAATGAGTTTTTTATATTGAAAACAGAAAATTATTGGTGTTAGTTTTTTTTTTTGTTTGCTTTAAAGGACGAAAAAAATCAAATAATGACAACAAATGTTTGGCTTAAACAGGTAAGATCACAAAGACTATTAATTAGTACCATAAATATAAGATAGAAACCCAAAGTAAAGAAAAAAATGAGTGCATGCATGAGTAGGACTGGTACGACGATAAACTTCGATGGGATCCAGCCAAATATGGAGGCGTCGATGTACTCTACATTCCGAGCCAACAAATCTGGCTTCCTGACATTGTTTTATATAACAAGTAATCATCTTTATGTTGTGATTGGATGTTATTATTCGTATTGTTGCACTATATTCTTTACTTTTTCTTTTTTTTTACAAAACACAATCACTTCGTATAGAAAAAAAATATGTTTTTTATTATTATTTTATCTCCTATTGTTTTTTTTTCTTTTATGATTTTATTTATCACATAACCCTTCTATACACACATATATATCTATACATATATTCACATAGTATCATTATTATCATAATTGATACAATGGCAATGAAGTGTCGACATGAGAATATAACAAAATATATTATGTTGTTGTTGTTTTTTTTATTTCGTTGCTTGTCATTCTCTTGATTTTTATGCACGCTTAGGTACACGCGTGCTATATTTTATGTATAAGATGATAGACGGATTTCTTTTTTGCACGCATGCGTTCTATGAGAGTTTGTTGTTCTGTCCATCAATGCTTATGATAGATATGGATAAACATTGTTGACAAGAATAGATTATCCAAACGACATGCAAGCGTTGAAAACATACATACATCCGTCAAGAGACTTGACATCAATAGACAGATTCTGTTACTATACTTGCAAAATAGTTAATTATAATGATATATATATATATGAAAACAAAAGAAAAGAACAAAACTATCTAATAAAAACTAATCATTTTTAGCTATGGATTGATGAACATTTAAAATGGGATCCAATGGATTTCAATAATATAACCAACATCTCTATTCCAGCTAGTGATCTATGGCGACCAGATTTGGTGCTTTTTAATAAGTTGGTGTCATTTTCTTTTCGTCGTAATCCTTGATTTCGTTTTTTGTATTATTATCTCTATTGCATCCGATTATATGCACAATTGCATGTAACAAAAGAGATCTTTTTTATTGTGCTTGAAAAAGAATTTAAATTAAAACAAAAAAACAAAAATAATAATCATTTGTAATGTTAAAATCTTTTAGTGCTGATGGTAATTATGAAGTAAAATTAATGACAAAAGCTACTGTTTATTATGATGGTCGTGTTATTTGGGAGGTGATATTGGAAACTTTTGTTTTGTTTTAATTATTTATCTTTGTTTTTTTTTACATTAGCCGCCAGCAATATACAGATCGAGTTGTACAATCGATGTTGAATTTTTTCCATTTGGTTAGTAGAAATTTTTTCGTACATGAAAATGATACTTGTCTGATGATCATATGGGAATGAAATTAAATAACAAGATAATCTTATCTTATTTATATAGAATCAAGAGTAGAACCTTTGAGTCTTATGAGACTGAAACTAAATCATTTTATATCTGAAGAATGAATCTACATTTTCTTTTTTTATGATCAAATTAGAAAGATTTCTTATATTTTATTTATTTATTTTTTTTGTATATTCAGATATTCAACATTGTCAAATGAAATTCGGTTCATGGACATATTCAGGTGAACAAGTTGATCTTGTTCATATTAATCAAACAAATGGTTCAATGCCTGTTTATGGCAATAATAGTAAGAATATTCATACGAAGATAAAATCTATGATTGTAATTTATAGAAATTAATTCAGAAATTTTTATTTGAAAAATACATTTATTTAATTTCTTTAATTTAAAACAAATGAAAATTTTCTCGAACATAATAATAATTTTATTCAATAAAATTCTTCGACTTTTCTTTTTTTAATATCTAAAGAATAGATTCATAATTTTAATATCTTTCTAGGTGTACCATATGCAATTGATTTAACTGATTTTTATCGTTCAGTTGAATGGGATATAATGGAAGTTCCAGCTAAACGTAATGTACAAAAATATACATGTTGTCCTCAAACATATCCTGATATAACATTTTTAATAATACTTCGTCGTAAAACACTTTTTTATACTGTTAATTTAATAATCCCATGTGTTGGTATATCATTTTTAACTATTCTAACATTTTATTTACCATCGGATTCTGGTGAAAAAATGGCACTTTGTATAATGATATTACTATCATTAACTGTATTTTTTTTACTATTAGCTGAACTCATTCCACCAACATCACTTGTTGTACCATTAATTGGTAAATATCTTTTATTTACAATGATTCTTGTTGTATTATCTATTGTTGTAACTGTTGTTGTACTTAATATACATTTTCGTTCACCATCAACATATCAAATGCCAACATGGGTACGACGAGTTTTTCTACATGTTTTAACAAAATTATTATGGATGCGTCGACCAAAACCAATTAATCCATTAAATTATCATTTATCAACAAAAAATCGTAATCGTATTAAACAATTAAATCATACAACAATAAGACAAACAAAAAATTTTATTTTATCATCATGTAATACAAGTCCATATCATATACGAAAAAATAAAATACGTTTACTTGATGATTATAATATAGATCAAGATGGTATTGAAATAATTAATGATGATAATAATGATAATAATATTAATGAAATAAAACAAACTGAATATTCAAATGAACCATCACTTTATCCACATGAAATAAAAAAAGCATTTGATGGTTTAAAATCTATTGCAACACATATGAAAATAGAAGATGAAGAAAAAAAAGTAGAAAAAATTTAATAAATGAAAAAAATTTTTTTATTTTTTTTTCTTGGTATTTAGATTAAAGAAGAATGGAAATATGTTGCATTAGTAATCGATCGTCTTTTTCTTTATATATTTACAACAGCTTGTTTTGCTGGTACATGTGGAATTATTTTACAAGGTAGAAAAATTTAAAAAGAAGAAGATTTAAATTTTTGTCTTTAACTATTTTCTAGCACCATCAATTTATGATTATCGTAAACCAATTGATGTTATTAAATCAAATCGTTTTTAAAAGAATAAACTCTTTTTTTTTTACTGTATTATTTAATGTATAACATAAAATGAAAAGTTTATCATATATATTTAATGATATATTCGAATTTTCAAAACAAAAAAAAAACAAATATATAAAATTATTGTATACGAATTTTTTTTAATTGAACTTTTAATCGTTTTAAACCAATTTGAAAACCATTCATTTGTTTTATTGCTTGATGAGCTGAATAGATATTATCATATGAAACAAAACCAAAACATTTACTTCGATTTGTTAATTTATCAATAAAGATCTTTGAAGAGAAAAACAAAATATATAAAGTTTTTTTTTTTAAATAATTAAATTACTTTAGCTGATAGAATATTACCAAATGGAGAAAATGTTTGTGCTAAATCATGATCAGTAAATTTCGATGGAAGATGATAAATGAAACTTTATGTAGATTTTTTCTTTTTTTTTTTGATTTTAAAAACTAAATTTTTTCTATATACTTACAGATTAGAACCTAACAGTCCAATTAATTGTTTTTCATTGTTCGTAGAATTATTATTATTATTTTCTTGTTGATTTTTTATATTAACCGTTGATGAAAAATTATCATGATTTGTAAATGAAAGATTAGGAATATTTGATATTCCATGTATTGTTGGTGATAAGAAACCATCCAATAGACGAAGATCATCATCTGTTTGATTAGGCCATATACATGGATTTATCTCTGTATTAATGAGCAAATTAGATGGTGTTGAAAGAATATCTACCCATGTAACCATTTTTATGGGTGTGGGACTAGCTCTCCACTTAAGCCACATCCACACCCACATCAACAATCAAAATATTTTGTCTACTTTGCTGATGTAAGCAAGGTATATGTTTAAACTTCGTTTTCGTCAGCAAAATATATCACAGTGTACGAAAATCAAATCTTTTACAATCTAAAAGAATACAATATAATGCTTGTATTTTTTTTTCCAGAATTCAAAATGTAAAATTAATACTGAGCATAGAAGATTTGTCCACCGTCATTATTTCTCATGTACTAATTGGGACTGTGGGTGCAGACATGAGTTCAAAGAAGGATCACACACACATCTACATTCCGGATCTGACTTTGTGTTGCTGCCTACTTCTGTCAAATAATTAATAATACTGGATGAGTATGAAGTCAACGATGATCGTCAAGCGAATTTTTTTTTGTATTTTGAACCTGATGTCTTTCTTTGTTTCTGTATTACATTAACAAAAATTTTCAGACAACTTTCATTATGAAACTTTTGAATCTGTCTGAATGAACAATAGTCTTTGATGATTTGTCTTCAATAAATTAACTAGCATCAGATAACTTGTGATTCATCTATCTGAAACAAATTCATGTTCCATCACTAGTAGTGTTAAAATGCAGTTGACACGATCCAACAAAATTAAAATCAATGAAATATGATTAGATTAAACGGTTTTCAAAAGTAGCTAAAACTTTTTTAGAAAGAGAATTAAAAAGAACTTTGAATAAATTAATAGGAAGGATTGAGCTTGATACAAATAATAATAGTAATTATCCTGAATATGTGATAAAATAAAATTAAAAATATCTTCTTATCTTTATATTTTTATTTGATATTATCAGAACGTTTGGTTAACCCTAAGTAATCAATACTTATCATCCATTAAAACAAAGTCAATCAGTTTTTAGAATAATACAAAATTCATATATAAGGAAAAAGAACAAAATAATCTTATGTTTTTTATTGTCAAATTCATATGTAATAATTTATCGTTCATGTTTATGCGATTTAAAATCATCATATCAATATGAATCTTTTATGTCCTTGTATTCCAACCATTCTAGAAGATAGTCGAACATCTAATGTACGTATGTGTATCATGTTGACGATAAACTAGGTCATCCATCAGGATGTCAGTGTGAGCGTCGAATGAAAACTACATAACCACACTTACATTCTAGTCATACTTACATTATTTTGGTCGAAAAAAATAGTATTTTAGTTAATCAACAACGTAAACTTTTGCCTTTGAGATCAATTTATAAAATTTTATAAATTTCTGATGTATTAACAAAAAAATTCAGAATGATACTGTAAAGACAAGCACGAATCTTTGGGAAACAATTAAATACAAGAACCATTAATGTAAAGTTCTAGATAAAAAAATCCAGTTAAGTTGTTGACACTTTCTTCATTAGGGTGGGCGTGTGTGTGGGAGCGAGAGAATACTATAATTACATCCATGCCCACCCACATCCTGAAGCGAACTTTTATCGTTAGATTGGTGATCAACAATATTAACATTTTTCTTCACCTATTCCTTCTGATTGTTATCTTATCATTACTAATTTTCTTCTGTTGTTATCTGAGTATTTTTTGTTATCGTGCTAGATTCCAGTATGCGCCTAGCTTCACTACATTCCTATCTCTGGTTCTTGTGACTTTCTATTGCTACAAACTATTCATACTAGCTAGATGTGCCATTTCATTGGCTATGGTTTTTTTTTCTTTTCATTCCTTTCATGACTCATGTTTGTCGTACTAGAGTAACAATATGATTTTCCTGTTATTGCAACATTTTTTTCTCGGTTCTTCTTACTGTCCTATTAACTATTCATTATCATCTAGTTCTTCAAGTTGTGTTTCTTCTTCTTTTTTTCTCTTTCTTGAATCTATATATATCCGATAGCCGTTATTTAGTGTAACGAACAAAATTTCGTAAGTAAATATTTTTCTTGTCAAGCACATACTAAGAAAAATCAAAAAGTGACCTATGAGTCTATGTGACATTCTTGAGTAAGTGTGTAGGTTGAGTCTCGCCCAAATGTAATACATACCACATGCTTCACTTTTCAATTCTTTCGTTCTTCTATGCCTCTCATTATTTTCTTTTTCTATTCTTTTTTTTCTTTCTGGCACGCACTGTTTACAGGAGAGGAAGAAGACATAGATTAAAGAGAGAATCAACAGTTATAATATATTTTCCGGCATAGACTACTAAAGAGATAGATAATATCAACTGATTCAATTTCCTGCATCTTTTTTGCTGAGGTATTACATCTTTAGTCAATTTTCTCAGCAGATCTCGATATTTACAATGAAAACTTTGATCGAAACTTTTCAACCATGAGTAATTCTCGATATTAGTAGTAGTTGGTATAAAATAGATAGTTCTATAGCCATGTTGATGTCCAAATAACAAAAACGAAATCATCCCGATTTAGGATCGGAAAATATAAAGGACAAGAGCGTTCGTAACCGCCAATAAATACACTTTTTGTTTAGGGGTGGTCATTTAGTGTTACTTTAAAAAATAATGATAAATGAATCCTTTATCTTTAGAAAATAAAGATAAAGGAATCATTTATTTTTATCAAATAAAGGAATAAAGGGTTATTTTTTTTCGAACGAAATAGGGCTAAAAGTGTTCTAAGATTGTGGAACTCGCTCTAAAGCACAGTTTTATAATTGAACGGATCTGTTATGACAGAAATAAAGTCTCGAACATGCAAAATAACTTACAGGTTTTTCATTAATATTTAGTGGATTTTAGCTAGAAAAATAGAAATCGAATTAAAACTAATATCATATTTTTAATCAGCATAAAAAAATAATTAAACTTATGATTGTTTCGAATGCTTTTTAAACATTTCGAGTTTTATCGAAAAATTTGCCCTGGTACCTCTCAGGATTCTGAGGACAAAAAACTGGACTTCACCAGAAATTGAATTCGACAGGCACCAACATGCCCTAAACTTGTAAAATGATAGTGGCACACATAATGAGTATGGGTGTGGGTGTGGGTGTGGGTGTTGTCTTATGCTTCTTTAACACCCACACCCACACCCACACCCTCTTCATTTAGATGTGATGAGCGATACCATACCATAAACAAAAAGAATGATGATAGAGTGAAGAAGAGGCTCATGTGCACTTCATTTTCATAGTAACTTTTATTCTCCAATGCATATTGTCTTGACGAGATAAATATTGATGAATAATGATCGATATGAAAAAAAGGAGAAGAGGAGCTACAAGAAGAAATACAGAGAGAGAGGCTAGTACTTATGAAATGTACGTCCTTCAATCAAGTTAGCATTTATTGTTGTGATGCTCAATCATTTTGGTTCCCCACGACTACCTGGTTCTTTTTCAATAAACTGTTCGGATGGCTGCGATGACGGTGTGTTTGGACAGTGATAGTGAGTGTGGTGACGGCAAGGATCTCAATCTTGTGTGTGCTTAGTGGATCGGAACAAGAAGATGAACAAGTCTCAATTCTCCAAGGCGCGTACCATGGCTCAGACCATTTTCTATCGAAGCGATATCGATGACGATTCAAAGGTCGCGTTGAGTAAAACATTCATTTGCGATTGTCATTTCAAAGGATTATTTGTCCAGTTTAATCCGATGAAGTATAAATGGTGTTATACTTATGCTTCGATGTCCAGACTATCTCCTCCAGGTGTAGGTGTGAGTCTTCTTGTCGACAACATCCACAGCCATACCCATCCACACCGGTATTTTTAACTATTAGACATTCAAAAGTTCAAATGTGTAAATCTTTAATTGTGTTATTCTTAAGAAACGATGCAAAGCGAAGCTAGAATAACACATGTTGAGCTCCATTGTTCGTTTTGATGAGATATAGCTACTGCATTGAATTGAACAGTGAACGTATAGCTTAAACGGTGCTTCTTAAGTTTACCTGGTGAAAAATTGCATTTTTCTGAGTATATTGATTTGAGTTTTTAGAAAGTTCAATTTTTCAATGATCATTTTTGATTCAAAACACCTGTAGATGTCACAATGAGAAAAGGTAAACGTTCAAGTATTCAAGACATCCTCATTTTTTATTGCTTAGAGAAGTGTTGAAAAAATCTCAGGTTTATAGAGCAAAACAGTTAGAAAGTTAATGAAAGAATACGTGTCGAGTATTCTCTAATTTAAATTTTCTTATTCACTTTCTCTACAAATGATTTGGTTTGGATTTTGTAGAGAATTCGACGCCACATCTTTTAGAAAAACAAGTCGGCTTAAAGTTTGAAAAGAAAAACAGCTATAATCAAAGTAATAAAAAGGACCATTATTTATACGTCATCTATTAGTTTAGTAAAAATGAAAAAGAAAGTTTCTGTATAGTCTTCTATGGTACATATATTAATAGATGAATATAGCATAGAGTAACCAATAGAGTACATAGAGTATATGACTACTTAATATCTTGATGATAAATAACTGGAACTGGATTGTTTCTGTGTCTATGTATCGGCGCAAATGACTTCCCTTCGTAAGCTAATGCATTGCCGATTGAGGTGAAACTTTATGCTCGTATACCTGTTCTTCATACGTATCTCGTCACATATGTTTAGTTTTTCTCGGCTTTGTGATATTTATTTTTCGCGAAGATGTCTAATAAATCAGTAGTATACAGAAACGTTTACACTTCTTTATTGAGAAAATCCTGCAACTAGAAAAACGAGGATATTAGAAAAACAGACACGTGAGAAAAGCTAGTTCAAAAAATCTAGCTTTCTATTGGACGACCTTTATAGATGATCCCGCATAGTTTCTTTGAAGTGAGAAGCATATTTGAATAGAATAGTTAAGAAAAGTATGTTGTGATGATGCCGTGTTGATTTTAATCCCGTAGGGATTGCACTAACAGTTATATTTTCTTTCTAGGATATATGGTATAAGCTCAAATTCACATTCTTAAATGGGACTGTACCATCGATGATAATAAAAATCAGCAGACATTCCCTAATAGC